AAGTAAAAATAAAAATATAAGTATATGCCTTCTAATTTAAGCAAGTTGTATATATGATATATAAATATATATGCACAAACATAATAGTAAATGAGTTTAATTTCAATATTCCAAATATTATAATTGGTAATACAGAATATGAGTTTATATAGGATTGATTGAAATTGTATACCAATTACTCCAGTTTTTAAAAGTACTACATTTCCTTCAAATTTCATTACAAAATTAGCAAACATTGGTATACACATGTGATGAGGGAAACTGCTTAGTTCATGGCAACCAGGAAGCAGAGAAAGAAAGAGGAAGGAGCCACCAAGAAAAAAAAAAAAATCAACCCTTCTTCCAGAGCATAGCCCCAGTGACTTACTTCCTCCAGTGACATCCCACCTCCCAGTAGTCCAATCAGCTCCCAGAAGCTCTTCATAAGGGTCAGGGCCGTGATGATCCAATCATTGTCTAAGTGCTTCTCCCTGAACCTTCCTTGTGCACCATGCTTTCAACACATAAGCTATGTGGTAACATTCAAGATCCAACAATACACATAGTTCATGGGTAAATGTTCAATTATTAAAGACTGGTTAAGGGATGCCTCAATTACAAGTTAATAATAGAACAAATATTATAAGGAGGTGAGTGAATTCAGCAGATGACCACATGGGAAGAAATAGCTTAACAGCATTATGTGAGGCATCAATTTTCTATGCTAGAAATGTCCTGGTGTAGTGAAGGAACAATAAACCACCTAGTGTCTAGACCATTGAGATAACAGGGAAGTAGTAGAAGAAGATCATGTAAAGATAACGAGTTATGTTACAAAAGCTGACCTTGCAGGATCTTGTAGACTATAGTGAAGGTTTGTATCACTAAAATTTTTTTAAATGAAAATGAGAAAGACTGATATTGATATTGTAAGAGTTGAATATTGCACATGATATATTTGAGATGAATATTTACAATGGAGATGTCAAGTAGATAGATATTTGAGTCTGGGGTTTGGAAATGAGGTCCAGATTGGAGGTGTAAATTGGGAAGTGGTTGGAGTACTGATGGTACTTCTATACATGTGACTCATGAATCATCCAATGCAGTGAATAAAGAGAATGAAAAATTTCTGTCATGTTTCAACATTAAGAGGTTATTGTGAATAGGAGGAGTCAACAAGGAAAAGTAAAAAGTATGGGCCAGAGAAATAGGAATAAAGTCAAGAGAATGTGTTGTCCTGGAAGCCAAGTGAAGAATATGATTCAAATTAGAGGATGTAATTAATTCACTCATAAATCAGTTGCTGAGAAACATTTAATTTAGAAACCAAGTGTCCTCAATAAATGCAACTTTAGAGGACACTTCTAAAGAGAAGGAATGGGGAAAAGGAATTGGAAATCAAAATAATA